CAAGTGAGCAAACAATCCTAAATGTTGATGTTCAGATCAGTCGTTTCTACAAGTGAACAAACAGTCCTTATTGTTGATGATCAGATCAGTCGTTTCTACAAGTCGGCAATCAGCCATTATTRCTGATKAACAGATCAGCCGTTTCTACAAGTGAGCAAACARYCATTATTGCTGATGATCAGATCAGCCGTCTCTACAAGAGAGAGAACAACTATTGTCACCCTTGATCAGACCAGCCTTCCCCGCGAAAGAGCAAATAGCAACTATCAATGATGATCAGGCCACTCGTTCTCGCAAATGATCTGACACCCATCAACGCAGATGGTCTGATCAACCATCCCATCAGGCTACGCTAAATGAACCGGCGAAACGGGGGGGGAAAACGAGATAGAACAGACCGAGAGAGTAAAGGGGCGATTCGAAGAAAGAGTGAGCAGAGAGAGAGAGAGAGAATCAAAGACAGAGAGAGAACAGAAAGAGAGAGAGAGAGAGAGTGATAAAATAGAGTGGCTCGCCTAAGGTTGACTGTTGAAACTCTCTGCGGTGAGAATACGCTAATATACCAGTTGACTGTTGAAACCCATTGGTGTGTGAACTTGGCTCATTGGGGTGTAATCTAGCGGGATCGCTAGTTGACTGTTTAAGTTAAAGTTCGTTGTTGTGTGAACTTGACTCATAACTGTATAATCTGACGTGTTCACTAGTTGCCGGCTTAAGTTAAAGCTCGGTGCTGTATGAACTTGACTCATCGTTGTGTGACCAATTCGGTTCACTAGTTGACTGTTAAAACTCACTGCTGTGGGAACTGCGTGACAACCAACCTCAAACTCGATTCCTGCTGGTCGCTGAGGACCTCGGACGCGGGCACGGCGAGTGACAGGCGTCGTTGCCCTTGGCTTCAGCGACAAGTGGGCGCCCCTCCCCGGGTTTCCTCATAAACTTTGGCGCCGTTGCCGGGGAGGGGAGCAGCACCCCCAAGGCCGCGGCCTTTCCCAACCAACGGGGGTGCACGGGCTGATTAGTCAAACACTAATTAGCTCGTTTTCTTGATTAGTTTTGTTTTTTATAATCATTTTGTTTAGTTTTTTTTATATATCTCCCGATCCGCGCGTTTTCGAGCGAGCCGCGCCAGGAGCAAAGTTCGCCCTCTCGTCGGGGCGAACGTTTTGAGACGTTTTTTGAAAAATTCTAACGGCTAGAAAGAAAAGATATGGAATTTATTGTATTTTTCTAATTAAAAATCCAAAAAATAAAGGATTAAAATTTCTAATTGGTTTTTCCTCGATATCTCCTGATCCGTGCGTTTTTGCGGGAGGCGCACCGGGAGCAAAGTTCGACATCTTGACAAGGAGAACGTTTTGAGACATTTTTAGAAAAATTTTAATGGCCAGAAAAGGGGATATGAAATTTTTTATAATTTTCTAATTAAAATTTCGAAAATCATTAATTTCCTTTTATTTAAATTACGAAGAAAAGAAGCGAAATTAGGTGGTCCTTGTATTTTTCCCCACATTTTGAGACCTTAGTTGGGGAAAACGGACTCCGTTACGACGAGTGGTGACCGCCAACAGACAGAAAAAGGGGAAAAATTAAGAGGAATTAGTGATTTTTTTAATATTTTTATAAAAAATAGAAGGGAAACAGATTTGGCAAAAGTGATCCGTTGGAACCCGGCTTTTAACTGACTATAAACCGACGGAAAATTTTCTGCCTCGAGAAGTCGGGCGTGGTGGCGTGCGGTCGCGCGCAAAACCCCAAAACCCTAATTGGGGGACACCCTAATTAGGGTAAACCCTAACCCTAAGTTAGGGAAGGGCGGTGCATAGCCGGGCAGACACAAGTCTTTCTATCCGACCGGTGATGAGAAACTTTTGTATAAATATAGTTGACCAAATTGAAATTAATCAATATTGAGAATTTTATTTTATTAAATAAATTAAGTTGTAAATTTATTTTAAGTAATAATTTGTCATTAAAAATTGATTAAAAATCAAAATAAATATAAAAAATTCTTCAAGAAAGGGGAGTCGGCTTTATTTCGACTTTGAGATTCGGGAGATACTTCGCTTAACCCCATCTTAACGGGGGGAAGCAAAGTGCTGCCGAAAATTTCTCGGCAATTTGCTGAATTTTATTGAATTAAATCTTAAATAATTAAAGAAAATACTTGAAAATTAGCTAAAGATTGAGATACTTTTTCAATTCTTAATCTTTCTTGTTAAACATCTACTGTCGGTATTTTGAGGCCTTCGGCCAAACCCTATCCCGACGGGGGGGAGGAGGCAAAGTGCTGTCGAAATTTTGAAAAATCTCCTAATCTAAATTATTAATTCTTTTTTATATATATAAATATATTGAGAGCGATTTGGGAAATTAATTATAAATACGTTAGAAATTTGTTTCTTTAAGCGACTTTCCTCTTGTTTCATTTGGCTTTAGTCCTGGGCAGGTAGCATTTGTCTAGGGACAATAGTCCCGAACCCCATCCGAACGGGGGGAGGCGAAACGCTGCCGAAATTTTAGTAAAATCCCCAAATTTTATTTCTTTCCCTAAAAAGTATCAAACTCGGCGGGCTTATATAAGTATTGATCCTTAATAAATATAAACTAAGAACAAAATTTATCTTAACTTAATACATTTTTTATAATTTATTCCTTAGAAGGAGAAGGGAAAGAGACGTTGCGGTAACCTGGTTTCAGGTGAACCTACTAGCTTGTTCTCAAAGGCGTGAGGCAAGCGACGCGAAATTTTAGTTATTAATCTACACCTCCCGCTTGCTGCGTTCTCTTTAGCCGCCAGTTGAATGTGGCCCGGGCGCAAGTAGAGGTCTATGGGGCTACCATTGACTGGGACTTAGAGCCCCCTGAACTCATAGAGGGGGATCTGGTCGAGCTCACGATCCCCGGACGCAGCATTCGACACGCTGACGGCCAGTTTGCGTGGAGGTCCATAATCCTGTCCGAGGACGTGTGGCTTTGGACGTACAGAGAGCACCGACCGGGACAAGGAGTGGGCGTAGTGAGAGCCTACTTGTATTTGGGACCGGGTGCGGTCAAGGAGGCCGTGGTGGGCCTCGCGACGACAGGGACTAGTGACGCAGTTAGCAGGGCGTTACGCTACCTAGGGGAAGAGGTAGCGGCTTTCCGAGCGGAGGACGCGAGCGACCCGTTGACCCTATTTCACGGACGCCCTTCTCTTGATATCACGGGCGAGCTCGTAGTAGCACGGGACGGGTTTTTCCCGTACAGCGTTAGGAGCCTGCGGGCGATAGTTCCGACGTTCGTAGTAGAGAGCGTCTTTGGAGGTATTGGTGGAGTGGTCGAGATATATCTGGCCTATCAGGATCTCAAGATCCTGGCGAGAAGGCCTGCCGACCTAGACTACATCTATTATTCGCTTGCGACCGGTGGCCTCGTTGGGGAGACGAGAGGGTTCAGCTTATAGAGCTGATCCGCTCGATAGACGACGAGTGGCCCCAGTCTTCGTGCGTTTGGGATTGGCTAGACCGTGAGCTCCGAGCAGGCCCCGAGTACGTGACTTGCATCGGGCGSCTCTTCTCAGACGACTGGGGGAGCTGGTGGARTKAGGACGCCRGGCGACCTCTGATATMCGGYCATCAGTTGACGGAATACTACCAGGCCATAGGACAGGCGCCATACCGCGTCGAGGACGAGTTTGACGACGAGGGTTGGGAGCGAGAGGACGACGAGGAGCAGTGGAAGCCAGACTGGGTCGACCCAGAGAGTGAGGTTGATGAGGAGGAGATTGACGTTACAGACGCCCATTTTCCCATGACAGGAGTGGCGGTCCGGGCGTAGGAGGTAGAGGAGCGCACCAGGGYGACGGATGAGTGAGCCTGGCTACTGAACCTATTCGACCATACAGGACCTGAGTGCGAGAGTTGTCAGAAGGGTTAGCAACGTCGAGAGATGGGATGTATCGGAGGGAGTAGAGTGATCCTGACCGAGAGTAGGAGAAGAAATGAGGAGTGATTCAGCGGCCTGGTTAGCTTATGTTTTCTCACGAGAGTCCGAATCGTATAGTGTGAGGAAGCTTGTGGGACCCAGAGAGACGGCGGTTGGATACGACATACCACTTCCTGTGGCGTTAGAAGAGGCAGGGCGTGTACCGATACGATACTTGGGAACGTGGCTCGCAGAGGGGCTCTT